TTTCGAACGTTATCTCGTTCCCTCCTGTAAAGGGAGAGAAAATCGTGTTTTCCATTATATATTTTCCTATAATAAATATTTCATGTAAGACCGGAGAAAATTGTTCCCTCGCGCGATAAATCTACTGCAGTAACCTACAGGAAAATTTTGCAAATAATTCAATCTGGTTCGATAATCGCATAATTGATTGTTTCTCTCGACGTACTGCTGACACACGAAATCGATATCGTGAACAGCACGTGCTTTATCACACACACATATATATATTATATAATAACATTATATATATATATATACATGTACCGGTGAAACAATGGCGGGCGTGTTGTGATGCTTTTCCTGTCGGGTACAGCCGAGACTTCCATTCGACCTGGACGGCCCACGGGAAATAAGCCACTTCGGCGTGTCGTCGCTGATGGAGACAGAGCAGAACGAAGAGAAACAGCGCTGGGAAAGAGGAAAGGACGAAGAACGACGTGGCAGGCGAGCAGGCAGGTACCGAGCGGCGCATCAAAACTAATGAGCACGGTCGTGTTTTATGCTCGTTACGTCGCCGGGAGAGATCGGCACGGTCGTAAATCTCTGAGATAAGTCTTTCACAAATTTTGATCACGGTAAAAGCCTCTGGTTTCCGGCGAAAAATCCACGCTGGATATTCGAGATTTAAGGATAAGAAACTGGTGAGAAGAGAGAAGAAAAAAGAAAGAGAGAAAGATAAATATAATAAATACGGCGGTAGCTGTTAAATGAGAAAGTTTCGAACTTTATTCTCTTTGTCAATTTTGATAAACAAAAATATTGCCAACTAAAAGAAAACAACAGTTGGTTTTTTTTTTACTTTGTTTGAATTTTTGTTTCATTAAAATGCGGAAAAAAAAAGACTCAAAGAGGGATGAATCGTGATATTTAAAATGATGACGACGCGCGAAAGTTCGATATTATCGACGTAATATAAAACTGATAATCAGCCAAGTGATGAACATTCAGAAAAGCGAAAAGTGGTTTGCTCGCCGGTTTTAGACAGACAGAAAGGTATAAAAAGAAGGAGCTGAGAAGAGATGAGAATACGTGGATGTGGAAGAGATAGAAAAGGTGAGAAAGAGGAAGGGAAAGGGAAGGGGGTAGAAGAGCGATCACGAGTGTCGATATCCATCGCAGGATATAACATCTCGAACAACGGGATGAAATCCATTTCCCAGATTGGCGACTATCGATTGAGGCGTTTCAGGACCGCTCTCGACGCGCGGTCGCATTTTACTCTCTAATTTCGCGATAATTAGCTGAAACGCTCGTTAATAACGACGACCGAACCACGGGAGCTGCGGTTTTCGGTTCGGCCGTTAACAAGCTTCCTCTTCCTGCATGTTCTCTTTTTGGTCGTCTTTTCGCTACCGCGTCTGCCCATTTTCACTCTTTCGCGCGGCGCAGACATTCGCTTCCGTCAGCGCGACATTGCCTTTCATGTCGTTCGCCCGATGGCTGTTGCGCCTTCCCGATGAGAAGACGTATTATTCGTAAATCTCCGATTTTACGCAGGTTCGTGGAATAATTTTCTCTCGAGAAATTTATATTAGATGATTTATATTTTTAAATATTTTTTCAAGACTTACACTATTTCAAGAAAATTTATCGAGTAACTTTAAAAAAAAAAATACTTTATTTCCAGGTAGTTTGAATGCGCAGCTCGGTAATAATTTATTGAAATTATATATATTTTTCTAATTTATTGAGAAATATTATTATACACGTATATATCTCACGGTGTGTTGTTTAACAAAAATATCGGTATAATTATATGTGAAAAAAAATTTTCTTTTCCTAAATGTTTTCGGAGATGTTTCACGTTGCAAGCGTGTTTATGCAAGAAAAAAAAACCACAGAGAACAATCAAGCCAAAGACGGATGATTAAACTTGCGAGGTTGATAGACTAGGTTTTAAAGACTCGCACGCGAACCGGTCTTCATAAGTATTCACGTAGCAAGGATTTCAAACACACATTTTGCCCGCTCGTTTATTACTCTCGACTATGCGCGACATTAACTATTTCTCGGGTCCGCGCACAGCTTTTCAATTAAGTCAACCGCGGCAGGTAGCATTGTGCAAAAGCCGCGTGCCTGTTTTAATTAAACTTGTACGCGTGTGCATCGCGCTAATAGAGCCGGACGATATAGCACGTACTTTCGGTCTTTCATCCGAGAAAGTCGCACTGATTTTTTATATCCGCTTTCGCCGACAATATGTTGCCCTGTGTGTGTTTGCCGGATTTTTTTCCATTGTTACGAATTTTTAACGCACGTATTCTGTTCGCGGCGCGATTTTCGCCTTCGCACGAACTCGGAATTTTGCGAGCATTATATGAAAAATCATTCTGTTTTCATGAGAGCGTGAAATTTTACACTGTCAAATGTAGATAAAAGTACATATCAAGCGGAAGATTATATGCACATTTCGATTAACTACTAATTCCATTTTATATTTCGAGAATTCGACAAATGTTTATACAAAACTGCGGACGTAATGTGTGTTCTTCGTAATGTTTGAAGACTAATAGAATAAATAAATCATAAGTTCTCATGTGTCGCACACAAATCTTGAGAAAAACACGTATAAAAATAAGAATTGATAATAAAGTTCGAAACAAACACATAAATGTAAGGGAACTTTTTTAATATATTTATTAATACTTTATTTTTTTTTGACGATGTCTTCACAACAAATTTTATATTTTTGACGTTTCTTAGTTCTATTCGTACTAGGTTTATCATTGCGTCGAATTGGACTGTCTTCTCATATTAAATTTACTCCACTGAAGATGACTTAATAATTAAAGTCGAAACGTTTGGAAAAGAGATCTAAGTATAATTTGTTCGCATAACAATCTGCATTTGGTTCGAATTGCCCATCATACGACAGTTTTATTTATTTTCTCTCTCTCTCTCTCTCTCTCTCTCTCTCTCTCTCTTTCTCCTCTGTCTTTTGTGTCATCACGAATGAGATGAGTACATTGAAGACTATTTGATCACGATTTTAATTCAGAGGAAAGTGTATTTCGAGGAAAAGCATTTCGCATTAGATAAATTTATTCTGACAGATGGATCTTAATTCCTGAAATAGAGCTAGAAAAATCTTGTAGAAGAAAGCGTGAGCGACACCGCCATTTATTTAATTACGAAGTTCCATTTCCATTGAACAAAACCGTAGCTCGCGCGCGTTGTACCACTGTGATCTGTGGGCATCCGTATCTACCGGTTATCTTGCCTCTCGGCTAATGGTATCAGAAACGACATGAAAAGCTTTTAATGGACTTCTTACGTGAAAGGCAGAATTAAAAGATTGAAAAGGCAAAAGAGAGAACGAGATATATGTTGAAAACTGTAAAATAATTTTTAATCAATTCACGGTAATAGATGACTCATCAGATCAGTCTCTTGTTGATATGCGATGTCTAATTAAGTGGTAAAAATAATTGTTGATCAATATAATAATCAATGTAATAATAAACTATCAAAATTATGGGCAAAATGTAACTTAGACAAGTTACTTTTGTCGCTCTTTTCTCTTTTTTTTGTCGGAAAAGTTAAAAACGGACGTATTTAACGCTTCTCGCGTTAATAAAATCGAGGAAGCTGCATGCGCTTCGAAATATGTAACTGTAATTGTCATGTGTCCATAATTGCGCTAACGCTTTATCGATGCGTGCGTGATGTATCCTTAATTTACTAAATTAACCGATAATTTGGACGAAAACGAATCGAACGTTGGTGAATCTGAACGTAATGAGTCTTCGGCGCGTGATGCAAATGTGTTATATAATAATTATATATAAGTTAACGTGTAATTAAAATTTGTCGGCCATTCTAAATATGAAATACAATGGAAGTTTATTGTAGAGCAAAATGAATGTTGTGTTATACAATATATTGCATTAAGCAAAAGTAATTATAGATGCAATAAAAAAGAATTTATTGTAAATTAATAATAAATAATAAAATGTGTGAAAATTTGATGGCTTTTTTTAGAAATTTGTATAGTACCGGCATGCGTGTGTGTGTGTAGATAAAACTAGCTTGATATGTATGTACATATGAATTGTTCTTTTTGCATTAGTGAAATATTTTGTTGTAATATTTAGATTTTTGCATAAACAATGTTTTAGAATTTGACAAACGAGCAAAACAATTAAAATTTTCTTTTTAATCAACAGCTTTAGCTTGTTTTTACTTGTACAAGCGTTCAAAGGAATTTACCAATAAATTACACGGAACTTTTCGAAGCGTTTTAACTTGGATTACGTTGTCTGAGCGTTGGATTGTTTGAGTGATTGCCATTCTCTCGCAAATTGCTGCGCTACTGTTTTCGTACATTTAATTAATTTTAAAGAATATAAATAAAAATTATTTATGCGTGTATATCTTAAAAAATTTATCTTAATTGATAAACACATTTATTATTATTTGTACTTACCTTTTCTTAGAAGTAACAAATCTTTCTCGATAAATTTTTAAGAGTAACAATAGATCTTATTGTACAAAAATGTGTATTTTTTATATAAAACATTGAACTAAAAATAAAACTCGAGTTAGGATATATTTGCCGAGATGTATATCGTGAACATATATATATGTGTATTTAATTATATATTAATATATAATATTCTTATATCTATATAAAAGTTTGAATTATAATTGGAAATTTACAATTTATCGCTCAGATATCCTAAAGATATTCACATAATTATTTGTTAACACATTATCTTATTTATTTAAGGTACAATATAAAAACTTTATATATATTTAAAAATTTAGATTAACTCGTAAAACTTAACTAAATAAAAAGAGTAAATTTAGTTTATCTTTATAGAGTGCGTAACATATATATATATATATATATATTCAAAACTTACTTATTTTCTAATTAAAATAGTATTGCATATATTTATATCTTACATATAAATATTCAAATTTGAACTATTTAAATACCTACTTATGTACTCTACTACGTAAAAGTTTGCACAATTGCAATTTTATTGCTAGATTAGTTTACAAATATAAATAAGTGTTATAATACAGAATCAGCTTGAAAAATGTAGCTGCAAACTATATTTGTGTAATAAAATGCTTTTTTTAATTTTTATCAAATCTATCACGGCAGTTATTTTGTATGGACGCAATTTTGATTGTGAATTTTGAATAACTTGTTTATGTGATAGTTTAACTCTTCTCCGCTACGGCTGAACTAACTGTGGAGTTGTACTACTGTACGAACAGCTCTACCGCGAATTAACAATATTAGTAAAAAATGTAAAAACATATAAAAAAAACCATTCCCGCATTGTAACAACGTTATACGGCTTCCAATACGAGATAAAGAAAAAAGCCACCCCATAATGGCTATTCGTTCTAAAACGTCGCTTAGTGAGAAGCCACTATAGTGACGATTTGTTCTAAAAGATCATCTAGCGAAGCCACTGTAGTGGTATGTAGGGCTTAAAGAGTTAACAAAGTACTTGAGAATGTTATCATCTATAATATATAAAAACTTACAACACTTTTTTGATGTTTTATTTTATCTGTCACTCTCAAATTTTTATAAGATAATATTTTATAAAGTGTGAGAATGTCTCATTACCGTCAACATTTATATCCACATAAAATCAATCAACAGACTGAATTCAAATACAAAAAGCGAAATAATATGTGAGTCTCGGAATAAAAATGCATCTAATTTTATTTAAAATAAAAGAATGATGTATAAAAGAACAGAAGTATTTCTCTTAACTGATTTTAACTGATTGATACTATTTTGCATTTCAGAAATAAGATTAACAAAATGACTTATGTTAAAAGAATAAACATATATACAATTCTTTTCTTATCTTTTTGTCTTTAAACAATTGTGAGTTCAGTTTCTAAAATTAGTTTGTTACCAGCAAAAACGGCAAATTGTCTACAAAAAAAAAAAAAAAAAAAAAAACAGAAAAACTTCGGTTTCAACATGCGAGAGAGTTTATCATGACCAACGACGCAACTTGGTTCCCGAAGTTTACAAAGAAATTCGTCTCTTCGTTGAAAGAAAACCAAATCTCATTCCGCGGTTATTATTCACTCGTTACGAGTTCAAGCAGAGTTCCTATCAAGTGGTGTCACTTGGATAAGACGTTTCTTTAAACGAAAGTTACATGGTTACGTGAAACTTCGCAGCTCTCTTCGGATTTCACCGCTGGGGGATACGGACTCTCGGAAAACTGTCTGCAGTTGAATCTCTTGCTTTAAGTTTACTCGCAAATAGATTTTTCTTTGATCCCGCGCGCGGAAACTGTCACATCTTCCCTCGCGGATGTTTGGATTTCATCGTCGGAGTCAAACAACTTTAGCTCGTGAAAAGCATAATTTTTTTTGTTTCAAAACATCGAAAAACAAAAATTGAAATTTCCGACTTTCTTTCCAGCAGATCTGAGTAACGATTACTCTAGTCACGTAGCTTGGCGGATAACGTTCTGAAAGCGTTTTCTTAAGACAATTACCAGAACAAAGAGAGTCAGCATGATGTTGCTCGACGTGGCTGCTGTGGAATTGCGCCGATCGCCTCCGTGCATGGCTGCCGATTTCTCTTCTTCTGCGAAAACAGAAAAAAGATCTTTGTTTAAATTAAATGCGAGCGCGAAACGAAACAAATTTAATGTAACAGCAGACTTAATTAAAATTTAACTGAATATATTTTATAAAGGTTTCGGAAACATTTCATCCCGTCCTCTGAAGATTCATAAAAAAACATCGTAAAGTAAAACGAGTATAATTTATTCTTAATTGAGGGATATATAAAAATTTAACGCGAGAAGAAATTATCTTGCCGAGAAAATTAGTAATATTATTATACATAAAATTATGCTGAATTTACATTTTCTTTTTGATACAAAGAAAACTTCGAATATTTTTGCCTATTGATCCAGGACAAGATTGAATCAGCCGAAATGGGTTTCTCCCATCGTCTGACCGTGAAAAAAAAGAAAAAAAAAAAAAATAGTCGGCCGGCCGTGCTACGAGATTAAGGATGGTTCGCAAATTTTACGGCCCATAAAATTTGCCCTACATACTGACACAACGTCTGTTTTTGCCCACATTCAGACTTCAAGTATATACATAAGACATAAATAAAACGTCTCCTTAATGGTTCGAGAAGAGAAAAAGAAGAACGTCGGTAGTCTCTCTCGATGATCGACGAGGAAGATCTTCGTCGAAGCTTCAGGTCGAAGAGAAAAGAATGCAATGAAATCGCGGCGAAGTGTAAAGATGACGGAGCGCGTTTTCGATGTGTGCCGCGCTGGAGTCACGTAAGTACACACACACGCAAGTTTGATGTGTAAAAACGAAATCCTATTGTTTTTGTGTACGAAGAAAACTTTTACTTCAATATCAATCAAATTCTAACGGAAATCGTCTACTAATCGCGTTTAGTATGTTTCATAATAAAACTTTTTATCTAACAAACGGAGCATATAACGGAATTAATGGCGCTCGTTCATTTTATATATATGCGGATTTTCGGATGCGAGAAATTAGAGAAATAATTCGCGAGTTATATCGCGCGCGAAATGAGAACTAAATTCTATCTTACCTTCAATGACATGTATCACGATGTGCGCCGGTCTGGCGTTGCTCGGCGAGCACGTGTAATTCGCTCCGTGCGAGAGCTTTACTTTTTCCACAACGAGCACCGAACCGTTTCTTCTCAGTTCGAATCTGACACCGGGTTCGTTGTCGTAGTTTATCATGCGTTCTTCGCGGTACCAGAACACGTAGCTGGGCGGTTCTGCGGCCGCCATCAGCTGGCACTCCAAACGCAAACTGGAGCCCTGTTTCACATGGAGATCCGGCCCGCCTGGTATGACCGAATACGCTTCTGTGACGTTCAACCACACGAATCGCTGCTGCACCGGTTCCGTTTGAATCTATTTATTGTTCAGAAACATCAACAAACACAAACTTCAAATATTAAAACAAGTTATCATATCGTATATAGATTTTGTTTTTATTGGCCGGACGCATCGGACACGTTACTACTGACCGACCAGCTGTTTTTTATATCACTAGTGAACCGATCTAATAGAAAAAACTCGACTCGTAACGCGATACCCGATCGATATGATTGTTTCGCTGGCTTGTTATTTTTTATAGACGTAAAATATTCCGCCACGACGAAGAAACGGAAGAGAATCCGCGTTCGTTAAGGAAGAACAAAAACGTGGTAACATCGTCGAAATAACATATATTTTATAGAAGAATATCGCTCGGTTTGTTTTCTTGGTTTTATAGCGTTTTAGCTGAGTCTATATATAGAAAGAAATAATTTCATAGGAATGCAACACGTTTTTTTTTTTTTTTTTCTACGATTGATGGCCGCGCACTACGATATCTGGAGGATATTTATGAAAGCACGATCCTCTTATTGCCGCTGCATCGACACCGAGCACGTTTTCTTGTGGACATTAGACACGTGTGTAAGCGTGTACCTGACACTCGTAAAGCCCCGCGTCTTCGTGTCTGATGTTCTTGATCAAGAGGTTCCAGTCGGGATTGTTTACAACAACAAAACGTGTGTCCATAGAGTGAGTGCTTCTACCTATTGTGAGAAGCTGTCGGTCCTTTTTTCTGATCCAAGTAACCTAAAAAATATGAATTTTTTCTTGTCAGTATTTTGAAAGTTGTTAAAAAAAAAAACTCTCTAGGAACAAATATAGAGAGAATTAAACGCGCGCGAAAAACGAGAACGGAGAGAAAGAATGAACAAAATGCAGGATAGATTTCTCAGAGTTTGCTGTGATAATTTATATCAGCGTCAATCATCATATTTATAGATTGCGACATCTCCCGTTTTCATCAGTTACGTGTATTATCTCATTTTTTTAAAGAATCGACACAAAAAAAAACGAACAAAATGCAGAAATTGCAAACTACTTGTATAAAAAAAAAAAAGAAGAAAAAAATAAAATTCCAGAGAATTTGCGCAAAATCTTCGTGCATTATTTATTCCGCTCGCCGGCAAAGGGGGCAATCGTCTTTGACGAAACGACCCAGATCCGTCCTATGTATTACTTTGCCGGTACTCGATTAAATTTTCAACCTTTCGCGACGCGTTTTCGCAAGCAATGGAAACAGAAGCAAGATCTGCCCGACAGATCTTTTTGAAATATCTGGCGTGATATACTTCTTGGAAAATATATTTCAACGCGAGTCCGCCCGCAACGCCAAGACTTCAAAGATAGACATCGGCGGTTATTTATGAAAAATGTCATCGAGATAGAGAAGTGGATATTTTACCGAATGGAATCCGATGATGATATTTTTGCGCGTCAACGACAAATCTCTACACGTGATACACCGTGTCTATATTTACTTACTCGATGTATCATACGGCGCATTTGAATCGTTATAAATATTTGTCTTCTTTATAATATTGCATATATAAGGATCGGTCTTTTGGATTCACGATCGTTTTAACATAAAAAAAAGTTTCTCTGACGATGCGTTTTTTCGAGCAACTTGCATCAACGCGGAAAGTGCACGCTCACAGCACCGTTCATTGTCATACGAATGACGTTGCGGCGCGGTGACGAGCGATCTTACTTAACGTTTGTGCGCATCGTGGCGCAAATCCAGGAAATAATGACCGAAGTTTCGGTTGATATTGAGAATTGGCGAGCGAGCAACTTCCGCGAGAGTATTTGGCGAGCATCACGCATTAGATTATTAATGAATGTATGTACGCTGTTTATTAGTTGACACAGCATCGGAATTAGAGCCGTATGTAAACTGCCATGTAAACAGTTTGTTATATAAATATTACATAACTATATGAAAATTGGCAAACGGTGCGAGAGTTAAGTTTGTTTGGGGAAAGTGTTTTATTTTCAATTTATACATTCAACGGATGATATCACGTTTGTTTTTTTTCGTATCTTGTATATTTGTTTTTTTTTTTAATGTATATTACATTTTATATATATTCCGGTTTAAAGTGGCGTTACAATTTCAAACAAATACCAGAGAATTCCGAGCAATACACACATTCGCGAACTGCGGGGAATTAACGACTCCGCTTTTAGGAGATGCGCGGTTTCCAGTCGGTTCGATCCGCCGATTCTGATGAAATTAAGCGGATTCGACGATTACGAGCGGCGCGCGCGTTGAAGCGAATTACCCCGAAGCCGGGTGTTTCAATAATAAGGGCAAATTCAATATTGACGAGTGTAGAATAAATAATTCTCGCTGGTAACGAGTGCGCGGCACGGCAAACGCGGAACGGCGCGGCGCCACGACGACACAAGCGTCCATTGTCGTGGACAGCGTAAAAAGCGACGTGTAAAGAAGCAAAATTACAAAGTTTAGAGAAAAACGACCACTTGCGACCCCTTTCATTACGATCTTTCATTAAAAACCTTTTCAGCATGCGATGTGAACGTTGCTGTAATTTATCGCGTCGTCTCTCTTTCACGGTTTCTCTCCATCTCGCGCTTTCTGCGTTCGCGTTTTCTTCCAATCTTTCTGCAAGTTCGTTTTCTGTCGTCAAGTGTCGACGATTGCATTTTTAATAGATTCTTAAAAATATGCACTCAAAACTTTTCTTGTGTATGTACGTAATTACCCTTTTTTTTTCTTTTTTTTTTTTAAATGCTTTTACTTGAATAAAACGTCTTAACTGAACTATTTACGGGACGAAGTTAATAATATAGAAGCGTTATCGATAATTTTAAAACGACGTTTTTTTTTGCTAAATGTGCAATATTTATAATCCTTTCGTAAGAAGATCATTACACAGAAAATAAAATTGGATAATTAGCGACAAAGATTTTTCCTCGGAGAGAGAAATCAACTCATTAACATTAATGAAGTTTATTTTTTTATGTCACATGTTTCAACGAGTCTGATATTAAATAGTACTTTGACAATATAATTACGGCGCACAAATATTTTATTCTATTATTATTCCAGAATAAAGAGTATTTTCTTTTTCCGACGTATCGCATTTACGTGCACTGTGTGATTAAAAATGTGTCTTTGTAACATGGATCGGCAATGCGCTGAAAACATCTCGCGGGCATGCATAGATGTGCGGCGCACGTGTTGCCGGAAAAAAAAAAAAAAAAAAAAACAATAAATACACGATCCGACCATCTGCGAAAACAAACAAGCAGAGTGTGCAAAATTATTTCGCGATACATCTCGAGTCGAAATACAAACGCGAATAGCTCGTTAGTCTTTGCTTCTTTCGTTCGCATTGTTCATCAGCCTCACGTACTAGCTCGCTGTCTGCCCGAATTTTCAACATCCGACTATCACGCTCCATATGTAAAGTGCTTTCGTTTTACAACAAGCCATGTTTCGAAAGTTTTCGAGACTAATACACACATTTTCCTTCTTCCTCACACGGTTGCACACCTTGTAGCAAGAGAGTTGAATATATAGATGTCTGACTCTAGCGCGATTTTTTCACGCGATACATTTTTAACGCGCTTTTCTCTTGTGTTGATGAGAAAGAAAAAAAAAGAAGATAGAATTTATGAGCTACTACTCCTATAGGTAAATACGAAAGTTATTTCGTATTTATAAGGGCGAGAGAGACCAGTATGGTATAGAACGTAGAGAAGTAGCACCTTTTCCCGTCGTCCACGTAATTGGCAACGCGCGACTGTCCGCGCGCGACACGCGTGTACGACACGCGCGTCACAACACGTACCTACGTGCTTCCGCGCGAAATGACACATCCGTTGCGTTACATTCGGATGCAATTTGGACATGTGGAGGAAAGACGAAGAAGGAGACCCCAGACGAGGTTCTGTTTGGACGCGACATGAATAAAAGATCGAGGGCTGCTCATCTTCTCGAGCTACATCCTCAGTGCAGCGATATCGATCGTCGTCTTGACGCTTGCTTGCTTGCTTCTCGATATCGCCTTGTCAAGTCGCAATTACTTCTTTGAGTGTTCGATTCCAATTGTTTTTTTTTTTTTTTTTTTTTTTTTTTCGNATTGAATCTTTATAAATATATTCGAAGAGCTTTGTTGAACAAAACCGAAACAAAAAACATTCGGCGCGCTTCTTTCGTTCGAGACGATTTTTTAAAATTCTAATGAAAAAATTGATATTTGTCCGCACATGTGTCGTTTGATATTATTGCCAAAAGTAAAACAAATAATGATTACACGTTGTGTGCTGCTGTCCCTGTGATCAAGTTACGTATTTTCGCTTAACATCTAACGACACCTGCTGCCCATATACTCGAGTCTGTTTGTCAGCTAGCATGCGCGCGCAAGTGTAAGTTACTTCGTCACATAACATTAAGCACCCAAGGGTTAATGATGTCAGTAGTATATACAATAGTGTTCCGTAATACTATCCTTGCGCATGAAGGGCCTCACGATGTCAGACGTAATTAACCCTTCCTTGTTTCTCACGTTCCAAAGACAAAGATGAGAAATTCGAACTTCTGTGATAAAAGATGTATGTGTTGCAAAATTGTCAAAAATTATTTCACGATATACGCAAGACACGTGTTTGGTCAACACGTCTGTGTGTTAATATTCAAAGTAATAGAAATAAAAATTTGATGATGTATATAAAAACGTGTTCTTTATTTGTGTACAGAGTGTAAAATAATTTTGGTCGAGAAACGACCACACGTCGGTGATTATCGCGAACGAACGAGAGTTTCATGCGCGTTCGCACAGTTCCATAATACACGTTGCAAAGGGCTGCGTGAACGGTGCTCGTTTAATTAAAGGGACTCGCGGAATAGCGAAAGGCGTTTGCTAGCGACGAGACGTTTTAGTGGCTATAAATTTCCAGCACAGTCGCACATAACCGGGCAAAACGTAACAAGAACCGGACGCTAGTAGACGTTCGAACGGGGAGAGAATGCAATTATAAAACCTCGTGCGTGTTAGTCTCTCTCTTCCGCGCTGATTGCTCGTTAAAAGGGCGATAGAGAGAGTTTTAAGATTACTTTCAAGGAAAGTTTCGATCTGCTCGCGCGCGTGAAACGACAATTTCTCTTTTCTAATCCGTTCTAAAGGAATAAGTCACACAGCTTAGATTAAATGGCTTTTTAAAGCCATAGGCTTAGATTAAACGGCTTTCTAAAGTAGATAACTATATTGCTATTTTCTCCGTAAAAGAGAGAAAATTGCATTCTATGCACAATGTAATATAATAAATATTTTCTTAAATGTAATATATAAATATTTATATAGTATATAAATATATTATAATATAGTATANNATATAATTAATTATAATAATTAATTATAATAATATATTAAATGTCAGTTTTTTATTCTGTTTATTTTTTTACTTTTGAAATTTCGCAGAGAGTTAATAACTTTAATATGAGAAAACAGCGAGGAAAAGGCGAAAAAAATGTACACACACACAAACAAACAAACAACAAACATATATTTATATATTGGCTGCCTTTTTTCTGCTTCTAGTTTGTTTTCGTATATATATATACGAAAGGAGGTCAGTGACCCCCCCCACCAAGGCCGCGCGGCTGAGGTCAATGACCCCGCCAAGGTCGCGCGGCCGAGGTCAGTGACCCCGCCGCTGTCGCGTGACCAAGATCAATGACCTTACTGTAGTATGTAATACTGTAGTATATAATACATATATAATATAATATAATGTATAATATTATAAATATATAATAAATTATATAATATATATTATACGGAATATATATATATTATAATATATATTATACATATAATAAATTATATATGTATAATATATATTATTTAACGGTACATATACTATAAATTACAGTCACGTTACTTTAGTCACGTGTTGTTTTATATATATATATAAAGGAATCAGAAGAAGGAAAAAAAAGCAAAATTAAATCAACATTTAATTATTATAGTATATATATATATATATTCCCGAAATCGTTTTAGTGCAGCATCGAACTGGAAAGAAAATCTTTCTTCCGGTCGAGTTCCATTAATCATGGCTTTTCTTCGCACGTGTGAACGAGCGCTGCGCGATAACATCGGCGCGCCATTTAATTAATGTCCTCTCAAAAGAATGGTTTCCAATCGCAAAAAATTTATCGGTTCTCGACGGTTGCGTCTGGTCTCAACCTTCGGTTGGCCTCGTGAGGCCACTTTTCTCTCTATTTTATTTATTCCGCTGTCTCGCTGTCGGTGCTCCCTTGACAATGAAAACTTTGGATATCCGAACAAGACACGTGTGTTAGACTTTTGTGCTCTTCGGTTGTTTCTCTATTTTTAACTTTGTTCCCCTAGTCGATATAGAGACGAATTACTTCGATCGGGAAGAAGTAAGAAATAAACTAACTTGATAAACTATTACACATAGAGTCGTAATAACAAAGTTTTTGGTACTATGTAATCTTTTTTTATATATATGTATATATCAATATATTTACATACATCAACATATAGATACCGTATGTAGATATCTTTGAAAATTATAAATACAAGCTTCATACTTTTTACTTTGGACACAATAAAAATTTACGAACTGTACTCTTACAAAATCTAGGAGAATATATTTCGTAAATTATA